AAAAAGACCAAACAGCAAAAAAAAAGCGGGTTCCCTAGCTAGAGAATAAGACGCGGAACCACAGCTAGTTGGAATCCTAATGCCCTCACTCAGACGCTCTTGTCGAAACAGAGACCGCATAAATTTACGAGCTCTAACATTCAACTAACCCTAATGGTCCAAGGACCCAAATAATAGGGTTTTAGGGCCCAATTACTATAATATTGATGGTATATGGGCCCTAAAAACCTAGTAAACCTAGTATTTGGGTCCTTGGACCCTTAGGGTAACACTGCCTCATCGCCAGCCTTTGTTTGTCCTTCTCTTTTCGTTTCTGATGCATGTAGCTGGTTCCGGATGGTGCTGCAAGATTCTAATCCCATGTTGGCGTCATGGTTGTCGTCACACTTCATTTGATTGTCGGCACGCTTCATTTCCTGTGCAATCACAAACCAATGGCATTTGTTGATTGATTTCGAACGGGCATTGGTTAAAAGGAACCACATGTCACGTCTTAACCGCAAATCCTCCCGAAGCCCCGCTACAGGGCCCAAATTACCGATATAATGTTGAGGTTTGGTTTTGAGGTACCCTAAACATCCCTAAACTATCACAACTAGACAAGGAATCTAGGAGCATAATCCTGGCAATCATTTAGGCCATCATTTACCCCTGGACCGTGCGGCCTCATAATCAGGCTTTAGCCAGCTGCCCGATAGCTACCCCTGCTTTTTGACTCGGGGTGATGAATAAAGTAAACCCATGATTAACAACGCCCCTCCCTATTATCATCCCTAGTAAGGGGAGGGGGTCTATGAACCAGGGGTCTAGGTTACACGTGATACAAAAAAACATATGTGGGATGTATAGACCCTAAACCCTAAAACCTAAACCCTAAACCACTAGGCATGATGGCAGGATCTTAAAGATTAAGGTCCCAAGCTGGGCTCCAACTATGCACGCTTGCCAATATCCCTGAGGAACCCTATAAACACTGACAGCAATCCATAAGAAAACCCTACTTCATATACCCTAAACCCTACAGACCACTACATAGCCTCAGTTCCATTTCAGGTGACAAGTCCTTCTGCACTGCACTTGATGCTCAATAATACTAATGGGGTACTATATCCCTAAATACGCTTCCTTTAAAGAGAATTCGAATTAAGCGCCCGTAAGATGAAAGATGAATGAGGGCAAGAAGGCGCAACAGCCCCTAGGGGGGGAGGGCAAGAAGGCGCAACAGCCCCTAGGGGGGGTTTCTCAAAATAGAGTATCTTTGAGAAGGCTCAGAATGGATATACATGTGCATACATGCATATGTATATACATACGCATGTACTCGGTTGTGCCCTATCACGGGGTTTTGACAGGGATGGCTTCGCAAGGCCTCTATCCGCGCCACTGTGTCTTTGACTGTAGAGTCCTGAGGTCGAAGTATGGGAGATGCAGACATCACGCCATGTATGCTGGAATACTGGGTTGCTGTTAAGGATCTTGAATTAAGTAACCGCTATACAGAAACCATACTACATTGTACATAGCCCTACTACAGTAAGTTAACTTAAGATTCCTCACAGTTGCCCAGAATACAGGGCATGAGGCTAGCAACGAGTTGACTTGATTCTCACATGCACCTGGGACTCCGAAATTGCCGTAGTAGCGGCCCTGTACACATTTTCTATACAGGCTACTAGCCTACTCTAGCCGGCCTTTATCCCAAAATACCAATGTGTGTGTATATATATGTACATATATATGTGGGGTAGTATCATGGGTACGGTAGGTAAAGGCCAAAATGGACATGAGATTGCACAAGGTGCCCTGCTGAGCCTTTGGGGACCGTAGGCTCGAGGAACCAAGCCTCTCCCACTGATACTCCTCCTCACCTCATCATAAATACTTCCATTATCATACCATTGTATAATATTAAGAGGAAAATTCATGATGAGGGCGATTCTTACCACTCCATTTTCAGGGGAAGTTTATAACTTGTGTTGAGCAGACGTGTCACATTCACGGCGGAGAGGTGGTAGTGGGGAAGTCTATGCTCGCAGGTGTGATGGTTCAGCATTTCCAGGACTGTGAGTATCCCGAAGGGTCCAAGGACCCGAATAATAGGGCTGTAGGGCCCAAATACCATCAATGTTATAGTATTTGGGCCTAAAATCCTATTATTTGGGTCCTTGCACCCTAGGAGTATGGCTGGCCATGAGGAAAACTTCAGGGTCACCTTCATAGGCCTTCCGTTTAGCGAGTAGGAGTTCAAATACGGTTTCGATCTGGGTGTTCTGCTGGAGCTGCCCGAGCCACGCCCCCTAAACCCTAAACCCTACACCCCTAAACCCAAAACCCCGACCTAAACCCTAAACCCTGTACCCCAACCTAAACCCCAAACCCTGAACCCCAACCGAAACCCTAAACCCTAAACCCTAACCTCTCCCCCGCCCTCAGGGTAGCATGCCTCTCGTGCAGCCCTGGGTCCTAGACCCGAAGCCCTAAATCAGGTTTAGGGTTTAGGGTAACATCCAAGTCAGGGCGTAAACCCTCACCGCAATAACGCTTATGACCATATAGTCCCCCTTAAGTATATAGAATATGGGGTAGATGGGGATCTTATTGTAATATACCCAAAGCCATATTCTATCAACTTAAGGGGGACATGAATAGAGGTTTCGAGTTTAGGCTTTAGGGTTTGGGGTTTAGGCTTTAGGGTTTGGGGTTTAGGGTCCAGGAAAGCCCCCCGCCCAACTTTAAGACTAAAACTACAACCGTATTAAAACTTCGCTCATGGCCATGGACCCATGTTTTCCAGTCTGCACACAACCTGTCTATTTCCTTACGTGGAATCCTTGAACCCCTAAACCCTGAACCCTAAATCTGAATCCAAAACCGAATGCTATTTCTTTACGTAAAATTCGAAGCATCCTTCTCCAGCTCTTCACTCTCTTCTCCCTCATCCAGCAGTTGCAGGCCGTAACCTATTGAGCCACATAGCTTGAAGGTTCATAAAGGGGGTTTAGGGTTACGGCATATGAGTTTAAGGTTCAGGGCTTAGGGCAGGCCTTAGGGTTTGGGGTTTGAGGGTTAGGGTTTTGGGGTAAGGGTTAGGGTTTTGGGGTTAGGGAGTAGGGTTTAGGGTTTGAGGGCTCAGAGTGTTTGCCGTCTGTTCGGGTTTAGCATGTCGGGGTTTACCGGTTTACCGGGGTTAAAGGCTTCAGGGCTGAGAAACTTTAAGCTTGCAGCTCAGGTGGAAGCTGAGCCTATACCCAGACAGCTGGAAATTTATCCAACAAATGAGCGACCCTAAACCTTGAACTTCTCTGGGGCCAGATGAAGAAGATCATGCGGATCCTTTGGATTTCTCTGCCTAGGGCTTCTATGAGCCATAGTCTAAACTCCTAGTATCCACCTCGATAAGCCCCTCATAATTCATCTCTTTAAAATCCCTTATAACCCCTTTTAAAGAGTTTGGATTACCTAAACCCCAAAAGTGTATAAAATAATGGCCTTTATGGCTATTATTGTGGTGTAGGGCTCTTATTTTACATACTTTTGGTGTTTAGGTATGGCTTATCTGCTAAACCCTAAGCCTAAACCCTATAAACCCTAAACCCCAAAATAGGCTTATCTGCAGCAGAATTTTACAGGCCACTTAAGATGAATTGAGTGTTGGGAGCTCGGAGCTCGCAGGCAAGTTCTAAGCCGAGGCCCCTAGACCCCACGCGGTTTTGGGGATAGGGTTTAGGGTTTAGGGCTTACGTTTGTAGGGTTGAGGGTTAGGGCTTACGGTTTTAGGGTTTAGGGCTTACGGTTTTAGGGTTCAGGGTTTAGGGCGTACGGTTTTAGGGTTTAGGGTTTCGGGCTTACGGTTTCAGGGTTTAGTGTTTAGGGTTCGCGGTTTAGGGTTTAGGGCTTACGGTTTTAGGGTTTAGGGTTCAGGGTTCGCGGTTTAGGGTTTCGGGACCCAGAACCTCTTGGGCTTTCAGCAGTTGAGGACCTTGACGTATTGGGCAACATCCAAGGAAAGCGCAAAAATGCCGAAGTTGGCAATCGAGAACTTTCAACGGTCGCGTTGCCATGACATCTACTACCCTGAATCCTAAACCCTCGGGCGAGTTACCCAAACAATGGGTTCTGGGTTCTATATACCTGAAAATTTCTTAGCCCAACAGCCTACTATTTAGGAAATTTGGAGCCCTAAGAAAAAGTAAGCCCTAAACTTCAGAAATTGCCAGGTCTTACATCAGCAATGTCCGAACCGCTGTGTTGGCATCCTCAGACGAGACATCCAAAGATTCAACAACTGATACGTGTGTGTTAACGGGTTTTGGGTTTAGGGGTTGAGGGTTTTTAACCTTTAAGGGTTTAGAAGACTTTGGTCAAGAGTTCAGGAATCTTACAAGGTTGCAAGCCATTTTGTGACAATGATATCCACGTTGCAAGAAAGAAGGACACAATGACTGAGGAGCAATAGTATCGTGGATTCTCGAACCATCCCCCTCTGTACTACCCCGCCCAAGGTTCCCCGGGAAACCCCTTAGCTACCTGTAATTCCCAAGTACATTCACTTCAGGTACCTGAAGTGAGTCATCAAGGGACCATATGAACTAAAATTCGAATTCCTAGTATGCCCCTTAATAAGCCCTTTTACTCCTTCCCTGTACAATCCCATATATAGTCACCCTTTACATATTGAAGGGTTCAAACCCTAAACCCTGAATCCTAAATAAGGGGGGCTTTACATTCCACTACATAATTCCGTTATCAGGAATTTAGACTGTAGCTCATGGATATATATATATAGGTCAATCTGAGCTGATCGTTTGTGGTGAGCCCTCGCCCAGGCACGGATGTCCCACACCCAAGTTCTAGGGTTTTGGGTTTAAGGTTTAGGGTTGAGCCAAAACAAGCCCAAAACGTCCTAAGTACCTATATGGAGATACAAATCCAGCTCACTAATTCTCGGTATAGAAACCCTATTTTACAGCATATAGGCAGTTAGGATCCTTTGGGTTGGGCATTCATGATTCATGGTTGCGCCGTGCATCATCGGTGCATGCCAAGGGGGTCAGCCGTAACTGGCGGAATCACACATTCTGAGATGCCCACAACCCCAAGCCGTGCATCCTATGCCCCAAGCCCTAGAGCCTAAACGCCTAACGCGTAACTCCTAAGCCCTGAACCATTAAGCTTGGGCCCCCTAACAGCAACCCATCTAAACCCCAAACCCTACACCTTAAACCCTTGGAACCCAATACCTTAAGCCCTAAACCCCAAACCCTAAGCCCTAACTACCTACGGAGCTCCTGGCCTGCATCGGCAACATGATCTGCAGGAAGTGACTCGAAAAGGGCCTGGGCCAACTCAGGCTTTGGGGTTTAGGGTGTAAGGTTCAGAGTTTAAGATTAGGATTCAGGGTTCAGGATTGAGGCTT